TATATATATATATATATATATATATATTTATATACTTATATATATATATATACACATATATATACATATATATATAGATTTATATACATATATATATATATAGATTTATATATATATAGATTTATATATATATATATATATATAATTAATGTATAGGTTTAATATATACAAGATTAATGCCTGCTGTATTCATTATAATTTTTATATTTTATTCTTTTTATTCTGTCTCCTCCTTTTTTATTTATTATTTTTTTGTCTCCTTTTCTATATTCTTTTTATTTATTTATTTTGTTTATTCATTTTATTTAATTATTTAATTATTTTATTTATTATATTTATTATATTTATTTGCTTCGGTATTTTTATTCTTTTTAACTGTCTTTATTATTTTTATTATATTTATTTTGTTTACTCTTTTTTACTGTCTTTGTTTGTCTAATTATTCTTCTCTGTCCCCCTTTCTTTTAACTCTTTTTATTATTTTTATTTTTTTAACTCTTTTTATTATTTTTATTTCTTTTAACTCTTTTTATTATTTTTATGTTTTAATTTTGTCTCCTCTGCGGTGTCTGCGCAGCCATTTGCATTTCTCTCTCCCCCCTCAACTGCCGTTCTCTGCAGCAACAGCAACAGCAGCAGCAAAAGCAGCAGCAACAGCAGCAACAACAGCAGCAACAGCAGCAGCAACAACAGCAGCAACAACAGCAGCAATAGCAGCAACAATAGCAGCAACAACAGCAGTAGCAATACCAGCAATAGCAGCAGCAGCAGCAGCAGCAGCAGCAGCAAACTGTTGTTGATCCTAAGTAGCTGTTGTCTTCCCTGCAGCAGTTTTTTATTTCTGTTGCCTGCTGCTGTCTCTTGTTTAGCTGAGTATACAGCTGAATCTCCTCTCTTTGTTTTCTGCATTTGTCTCTTTTTTACTCAAAGCTGCCTATACACCCCAACATGGAGACACTTTATAACATATGCGACAAGCTATAGCAGAGACAAACAATATCCAGCTGTTGCTGTTGTTGCTGCTGCTGCTGCTGCTGCTGCAGCAACTCATGCAGCAGGAGAAGCAGCAACAGCTGCTGCACCACTGCAGCAGCAGCAGCAGCAGCAGCAGCAGCAGCAGCCGAAAACCGCGTGAAAGAAAAGCAGTAAATACAAATAAATATAAATACACAAATATAAACTGGATAAAAAACCTGCATTTGTTTGTTTATATCTAAAATTATATTTTATTTTTATTTTTATTTATTTATTTATTTATTTATTTATTCAATGCTCTGCCTCTCTAATGCTTCTATAACTCGCAGCAAAGGCGGGAGGTGCGGCTTCCTCTTCTTTTGCTGCACTTCACTTGCATCCTCTCTTTGACAATCATTTAAAGGTCCCCCATCTGCTGCTGCTGCTGCTTCTGCTGCTGCTGCTGCTGCTGGTGCTGGTGCTGCTGCTGCTGCTGCTGTGGGGGGGCCCCTGGAGTGTATGCCTGTATGTCTTAGAGCAGCAAGCGACAACCAGACTGCTTCTTCTGTTCTGATTGTGCGCGAAGCTTGAAGAGGACAGGTGTTAATAAAATAATCAAACAGACAAGCAGCAGGTATTTCTTTACTTTTACCTTCTACTAAAGACGTCAGGGGGCCCCCAGGGGCCCCCTGACGTCTGAGCGCTCTCAACGCTCTACGAAGGTCTGCAGGAGCAGCAGCAGCAGCAGCACTACCAGCAGCAGCAGCAGGGGAAGCAGCAGTAGCACTAGCAGCAGCAGCACTGTGCTGCACTGCAGCACGTGCTGCTGCTGCAGATACACCCCAGTGACTATCTCGCAAGACAGCTTCCAAACCGTTGAGGCCCCCGAACACAACTAGCATATGTCTGTAAGACGAACAAACAAAGATAAAAAATAAATATAATAAAATAAACAACAAAAGAAATAAAATAAACAGCAGAAAGATATAAATAAAAAAGAAGTTTTAAACAAACAACACAAAGAAACAAGCAAAAGGCAATACAACGTCCAAGAGGAGATGGAGCCGCAACTGTAGCAGCAACAACTGCAGCAGCAGCAGCAACTGCAGCAGCAGCAGCAACAACTGCAGCAGCAGCAACAACAACAGCAACAGGGCCGTCATCGCAACTCAGCAGCATGGGGCATGCAGCAAAAGCAGCAGCATCTAAACCCGCAGGAGCAGAAGTACCAGCAGTTGAAGCAGCAGCAGCAGGAGCAGCAGCAGCAGCAAGAGCAGCAGCAGCAGCAGCAGCAGCAGCAGCAGCAGCAGCAGTTTGTATGTTTACTTGTAGGTGCCGTGCTGCAAGGTGTGCGCAACTGTCTCTAAGGAGACTCCTCGCTCAGATGTACCGATGAGGCAGTCATACAGCGCAGAGGCGTCTTCTCTATCTTTATCTTTATCTTTACCTTTACCTTTATCTTTACCTTTATCTTTATCTTTATCTTTTTGTCTGTCTCCTAATGCATGCCCTCTAAACACCTCCCGAAGAGATGATGCTGCCCGCACTTGAAAGCCCCAGTATAAACCTGTCATACTCACAACACATTATATAATTGCTGCTGCTAGTGCGGCTGCTGCTGCTAGTGCGGCTGCTGCTGCTGCTGCTGTTGTTGTTGTTGCTAGTGCTGCTGGTGCTGGTGCTGCTAGTTCTGCTGCTAGTACTGCTGCTGGTGCTGTTCGTGCTGCTGCTAGTGCTGCTGCTAGTGCTGCTGCTAGTGCTGTTGCTAGCTGCTTCTGCTGCTGCTGCTGCTGCTGCTGTTGCTTCTGCTGCTATTACCTGCTTTTGTTGCAGGTTCAGAAGGAGACACTGCTTCTCCTCTCAGCACACTGCTGCGTCGTTTTGGAGACAAATCGCTGAGCTCGCCGCAGCCCCTCAAAGAAGGATGCAGACGCAGAGTCACCCTAAAACCACAAACCCTAAACCCTAAACCCTAAACCCTAAACCCTAAACCCTAAACCCTAAACCCTAACCCTAAACCTTGCACCATGGAAAGCAGACTATGTATGCCCTGAAGCAGGTTTAATTAGAGTGTTATTTTAGTGCACAAGAACGAGGGTTTAGAGAAGGCGAGGGTTTTGCTGCTGCTGCTGCTGCTGCTGCCGTTGCTGTTGCAGCGTAAGGGGGTGCTGCTGAGTGTTTCCATGCATAAAGGAGCGCTAAGTAGAAGGCTATCGGTTTTGATTATTTGTTTATTTAATCATAAATATTAAAACCCCCTTCCTAATAAATATAAAAACGATAGCAACAACAGCAGCAACGACAGCAGCAACAACAGCAGCAACAACAGCAGCAACATCAGCAGCAGCAGCAGCAGCAAGAGCAGTAACAACAGCAGCAACAACGACAGCAGCAGCAACCACAACAGCAGCAGCAACGGCAGCAACGACAGCAGAAACAGCAGCAAGAACAACAGCAACAGCACCAACAGCAGCAGCAAAAACAAGAGCAGCAGAACCAGCAGCAGTAACAGCAGCAGGAGCAGCAGCGTTTTGTATATTGATAAGTAATGAATGCATAGGATGATATACCTGAGGCCTTGCTTGAGTTTTTGTTTGCATGCAACAGGTAGAGACAGCCCGCAATCTACAAGTGTCTCCTTTTCTGTCTCCTTTATAACTACCCCTTCTCTATACGGCAGCCACTCATCTCGGCGTAGGTGATGAGGGGCATCCAGCGGGTGTTGAAGCCCGGCATATCTAAGGTCTGTATAAATATAAACAATTTATTTATTTATTTATTTAGTTATTTGTTTGTTTGTTTATTTATTTGTTTATTTGTTTATTTATTTGCTTGTTTGTTTGTTTATTTATGTTTGTTTGTTTATTTATTTGTTTATTTGTTTATTTGTTTGTTTGTTTGTTTATTTGTTTATTTATTTACTTGTTTATTTTATTTATTTATTTATTTATTTATTTATTTATTTGTTTGTTTAAATGCGTTCAAATAGGCTATTTTTATGTTATTCACATTAATAGTTTTTATTATTTGTTATATTATGCACAAAACAAAAACTAAAGAAGAGATAGCAAGTTATTTATTTAAGTTAATATAAATAAATAAATTAAAATATATAAAAATATATATAATATATCAAAATAAAATAGAGACAGAAAAAATATAAGGAGGCCTCAATCTCTACGCCCTAAACCCTAAACCCTAAACCCTAAACCCTAAACCCTAAACCCTAAACCCTAAACCCTTACCTGGGTGTATTTTAAAAAGGTGTTTACGAAGAAACTGTGGGGTTTCGAGGTACTGCAAATTGCGAACGAAGAAATCGAGAGAAGGAGAGCGGCCAGTGGTTGGGTCGATGGCGCTTGCTGCACACAAACCCTAAACCCTAAACCCTAAACCCTAAACCCTAAACCCTTAAAAGCCCCTAAAACCCTTTTTAAAAATAAAAGCCCTTAAAAACCCTTAAAAACCCTTAAAACTCCTAAAAGACCTTAAAAACCCTTAAACATCCGTAAACCCTAAACCCTAAACCCTAAACCCTAAACCCTAAACATTAAGCGTTAAAACCCAAACACGCCAAGCCCCTATTAATCGCAAAAAAAATAATAACATCTCCCATTGCATGCATTTAGGGTTTTAGATTCGAACAGTGTCTGCTGCGTCTCGCATAAATACTTTATTAGTAGGCCCGAGGATTTAGGGTTTAGGGTTTAGGATCTCGCTGCCAGTAGGATTAGGGTTTAGGGTTTAGGGTTTAGGGCCCCTTCAAATTGTTATTTCTAACAATGTTTAGGGTGTATGCCTTAGAATTTTGCACAGCAGGGTCTACGGTCTAGCTAGGGTTTAGCGAGGGTTTAGGGTTTAGGGTTTAGGGTTTAGGGTTTAGGGTTTAGGGTTTACCGCAGTCTTCATAGACGACAACTTCATCGACCCCCATTACAACACAACAGCGAGCGATGCATCCAACTAAAGACGCCTTCAGCTCCTTCAACTGAAAACAAATAAAAATATATAAATATAAATAAATACATATAAATAAATAAATAAATATAAATACAATTGGATTAATAAAAATATATAAACAAGTAAATAGACTGAGGTGAAGTAAACTCCTTTACAAACAGAGACGGAAAAAGACAGAAAGAGAGACAAATATATATGTACATAACTATAGATATATATGCATATATATATATATATATATCTGTATATATATATGTATATTTATATAAATGTATATATATATATATGTCTGTATATATATATATATATATGCAAATGCTTCAATCTAAGCAAAGACGAACAAAAAAACAAAGAAAAAAACACAAATGCGCATGCATAACTTCACGCCTCATTCAGCTGTATATACACCTCAAGACGCTCTCCCGCTCCCCGTCTCCCTACCCCTACAAATAGCTAGCTAGCTAGCTAGCTAGCTATCTAGCTATTTGTTATCTAGCTGGATAGCTAACTAGCCGCCTAACTCGGAGTCAGGATAGCTAGCTAGCTAGCTCGATAGGTAGCTAGCTGACTAGCAAGCTATCCGGTCAGCTAGCCAGCCAGCTAGCTAGCTAGCTAGCTAGCTAGCTATGCTATGGATATGTTGTTTGTTTTATTTTTATTTTTATTTTAATCTCCTCACTTGCACAACTGCAATTATAGAAGCGGGCAGCGCAATGCTGAGCGTCCCTCTCCTTGGGGCCCCTTCAAAGGGTATCGTCTGCAGCAGCAGCAGCAGCAGCAGTAGCAGCAGCAGCAGCAGCAGCAGCAGCAGCAGATGCAGCAGTAGCAGAAGTAAAGGAGCCCCATATGATGCCTTTGCTGCTCTCAGAAATGCTAAGGACCCCGTTGGCCTTCCAATACCTAAACCCTAAACCCTAAACCCTAAACCCTAAACCCTAAACCCTAAACCCTAAACCCTAAACCAGATCGGAAGAGCGTCGTGTAGGGAAAGAGTGTAGATCTCGGTGGTCGCCGTATCATTAAAATTGTGGGGTTTACTCTTGGAATTGCCTGGAGAGATTGCTCAAATGCAGCCTCAGGGATCCACTCCTCCTCCTCCTCCCTGTGAATGCAGCAGACAAAGCCCCAAAATGAATGCATGCATGCATGCATGCATGCATGTGGGGTGTATGTAGGTACACCTGAAGTAATAAGAAGAGGGCTATGATAATATAGATAGACAGACAAGTTAGAGATAAAGAAATATAAATTATAAAAAAGAAACAAAGACGAAGAAGGATTTGCTGCATTAAAATAATAAAAAGAGAAGAGAGATGCAGGTGAAGAAGATAAAGGAGACATCTAAAAAGGAGACAGAAGAGACAGACAGATAAAAGAGACAGAGACAAGTAAAGGAGACAGACAGACAAAAAAGAAATAGAGGAGACAGAGATAAAGGAGACAGATAAAGGAGACAGATAAAGGAGACAGAGACAGATAAAGGAGACAGACAGATGAAGGAGACAGAGGGAGATAAAGGAGACAGACAGATAAAGCAGACAGAGACAAATAAAGCAGACAGAGACAAATAAAGCAGACAGAGACAAATAAAGGAGACAGACAGATGAAGGAGACAGACAAATAAAGCAGACAGAGACAAATAAAGTAGACAGAGACTAATAAAGGAGACAGACAGATGAAGGAGACAGACAAATAAAGGAGACAGAGACAAATAAAGTAGACAGAGACTAATAAAGGAGACAGAGACAAATAAAGCAGACAGAGACAGATAAAGGAGACAGACAATAAATAAAAGAGACAGAAGAAGTCTCTCCTCACTCTTCTTCAGACTCTCTGCTACATCTTTCTGAGTCCTCTCCTTCCGTCAGTTCTTTTGAGGTTTTGTTTGTCTGATTATTAATTATTTTTTGTTTGTTTTTATTATTATTATTATTATATTTAGCTGTCTCCTCTTCTTCTGTCTCTTCTTCTCTTCTTCTCTTCTTCTTAGGCCCCTCTAAATGCTTCATCTCTTTTGCTGCTGGGGTTGTGGGGCTTATATATTTATTCTTAGCTGCTCTTAGCCTCAATAGATGCCTCGATTAATAAAATAAACAAACAAAAAACAAAGTAAAACGACAAAAAATAGAAGAAGATCTCCTCGTAAGATTATCCTAAAGGTCGGGGGCCCCCCTGGGGGCCCTCAATGTGTGCTGCTGTAGGTAGAAAATGAGAAATAAATAAGATTTCTTTGTTCTTTTTTAATAAAATAAAATAAAATAATAAAATATATTAAATAATTAATAATTTAAATTAAATAAAAATAAAAATAAAACAAAAAACAGTAAGTTTGTACAGGCTTGTGGGGTGGGGCTGGCATCATCACCGGGCATGTGTATTGGGGTGTATGCGCAGCTAATCTATTGTTTTTCTCTTGATTTATTTTATAAAATAAGAATATAAACAGCATAATATATACATTTTATATATTTTACTGAGGAGAGCATAAAATAGAGCTTATATATAAGCTCCTTACCCCTTAAAAAAGAGAGAGAGAGTGTAAGATAAAGATAAAGATAAAGAAAATGAGTTCTTTAAGCAGCAGCAAAGTAAAAGATATAACTCTTGCTGCATTCGGGAGAAAGGAGATAGAGCTTGCTGAAGCAGAGATGCCTGGTCTAATGGGTATTAGAAAGGAGTACTCAGCGAAGAAACCTCTGCAAGGTGCTCGTATTACAGGATCGCTTCATATGACTGTACAGACAGCTGTATTAATAGAGACATTAAAAGATCTCGGGGCTTCACTTCGCTGGTGTTCCTGTAACATATTCAGCACTCAAGACCATGCAGCAGCAGCTATTGCTGCTAATCAATCTGCTGCTGTCTTCGCTTGGAAGGGTAAACAAACACTTCTTTATCTTTATCTTTATCTTTATCTTTATCTTATATTTGTTTTCTTATATACTGCTGCTTCTCTTGTATAATTTGCTATATATTACTCTTACTTACATTCACTGCTGCATCTGCTGCTGCATCTGCTGCAGTTTTTGCTGCTGCATCTGCTGCTGCATCTGCTGCAGTTTGTGCTGTTAATGCTGCTTCTGCTACTGCTCGTGCTGCAGCTGTTTTTGCTGCATCTGCTGCTGCATCTGCTGCTGCATCTGCTGCAGTTTTTGCTGCTGCATCTGCTGCAGTGTTTGCTGTTAATGCTGCTTCTGCTACTGCTCGTGCTGCAGCTGTTTTTGCTGCTGCTGCTGCCTCTTTTTTTGCTGCATTCCTCTAACGACGCCCCTCCCATATGCTGCTGCTGCTTCATCACCTGCTGCTATTGCTGCTGCTGCTATTGCTGCTGCTGCTGCTGTTGCTGCTTTTATATTTTGTTTTAGGAGAGACATTAGAAGAATACTGGTGGTGTACAGAACAAGCTTTGAACTGGGGGGACGGTGAAGGCCCCGATTTAATTGTTGATGACGGCGGAGACATGACGTTATTAATTCATGAGGGTGTTAAGGCAGAGAAGATGTTTGCTGTAGATCCTAAGCAGCTTCCAGACCCTTCAAGAGCAACAAATGAAGAAGAAAAAGTATTATTAATGCTATTAAGAAAGAGCGTTCAAGAAGATCCGACAAAGTATCAAAGAATAGCTAAACGTCTGGTCGGTGTAAGCGAGGAGACAACTACAGGTGTTCACCGTTTATTAAAATTAGCTGAAGATAAACAACTTCTCTTTCCTGCGATTAATGTAAATGATTGCGTAACAAAGAGTAAGTTTGATAATATATATGGTTGTAGACATTCTTTAATAGATGCTATATTTAGAGCTACAGATGTTATGTTAGGAGGTAAGACAGCCGTTGTATGCGGATACGGGGATGTAGGTAAAGGCTGTGCTGCTGCTTTAAGAGGTCAAGGATGTAAAGTAATAATATCAGAGATAGATCCTATATGTGCATTACAAGCAGCGATGGAGGGGTATGAGGTGTGTCCCCTTGATGCATGCGTCTCAAAAGGAGATATATTTATATCTGCGACAGGAAATAAAGATATTATTACTGCTAAACATATGCTTCAAATGCGTAACAATGCTATTGTAGGTAATATAGGGCACTTTGATAATGAGATAGATGTTAAAGGGATCCGAGAGACACCCGGTGTCCGTATTATTAATATCAAACCTCAAGTAGATAAATATATCTTCTCAAACGGATCTAGCATATTACTTCTTGCTGAAGGCAGGCTTATGAATCTAGGCTGTGCTACAGGGCATCCCTCCTTTGTTATGTCATGTTCTTTTGCTAATCAAGTGCTTGCTCAACTGTCTCTGTGGCAGGATAAAGAGAGACAAATATATAAAGATAATAATGTTTATAAGCTCCCAACTGCCTTAGACGAGAAAGTAGCTGCTCTTCATCTACCTGCATTAAGAGCAAGCCTTAACAGATTAACTCAAGCTCAAGCAGACTATATTAATGTGTCTCCTCAGGGACCCTTTAAAAGACCGGATTATAGATATTAAATATCTCTCTCATCCTTTATATCTTCTATTCATACTGTACTCTCCTTTCTGCTGTCTTCTCTCTACTCTCTTAGCTGCTGTCTCTCTTTCTTTCGTCTCCTGTCTTTCTTTCATTTCGCGTGTCTCCTTTTGCATGCATGCGGTGTATATACACAAGAGCTCCACAGACAGCTCATACATACATACAAACCCTAAACCCTAAACCCTAATTTTCGTGCTTTGTTTCTCCCCGTCCTCATTGCGAGGCATCAGGGATCTTTAAACCTATTACAACTACTCTTTTTATTCACCCGTCTCTCTGTCCTGCTGCTGCTGTTGCTGCTGCTGCTGCTGCTGCTGCTAAGCAATCTTTCCTTTGTAGGCTTGCTGGGAGACAGAGAGACAGATATATACATATATATATATATATATATTGATATATCTATATAGATATAGATATAGATATAGATATAGATATAGATATAGATATAGATATAGATATAGATATAGATATATAGAGATAGATATAGAGACAGACAGACAGATACAGAGACAGATACAGAGACAGAGACGAAGAGGATATTAATGCAAAAGGAGACAGAGACCGATAGA